TACAACATTTGACAATATTCTCCATAAGAATAACATGGGAATTTTAAATTTAATTTTTTTGAATTTTCTCCGTTACTATTAACCGAACAAAAATACTTTTATATACTAAATTAATGGTTTTTTTTTTAAGCTCTTTAAAAAGGTCTAAAGAGAAATTGGGTAATTTTGTGTTTTGAGGGTCAAAAGTGAGAAAAACCAATTTTTACCCCATAAAACCCCCCGTAAAGCCCCGTTCCCATGGTCCGATCGTGCTGGTTCGCGAACTCATTCAAGTTTATCCCGCTTTACACCTTTAAACCAAATTTCATCAAAATCGGACAAAAATTACCCAAGTTATCGCATGTATATATATATATATATAAGTATATATATATATACATATATAAAAATTTGAACGAATGGTGTTTTTGGCCTCTGGGGACATCAAAATGAAAAAGTAAATCGGTCCCGGGTCTAGGTCTTACCGTGCCACCTACGGTAATAGCTACTTCCCTATAGGGAAATTCGCTAACAAAACAGCTGGGATTTTTTTAAACTAATGTATTGACATCTGTTTCAGAATATAATAACATTCAAATCAATCCCAATGTTATCCTTATGGAAGGAACTTTGAGGGCTGCCCACGCCCTTAAAAAGATATATTTCAAAAATCTAAAGCCAGTTTGCACATCTACACACCCAGACGAACATTTTGGTATATAAAATGTGGGGTTAAATCTTAAAACAAAAAAGCCTTATTGTTCACAAAGTTTCATGTCGCGTATTAAATATATAGAAGATATCCGAGGAATAATCAAATTTATGATTTTTGATTGAACAATACAGTAAACGCTTAAATAAAAGCCGATATTTCACTGAAAGTTCTGAGACCAAAATATATGGGATTATATAATTATAACTGGTGAAATACCTACATCTTAAATTGATGTAAGAATTTGAAAATAAGCAATTTATGTTTTTTAGTCAAGTAATTCAGTAGGTAAATATATGATGATGCTTGGTGTGAAACCTGTGCGTGCATACATTCAGTTTGAGAGACCTCAATCATGAAAATCGGTTGGGTAGAAGAGCCAAAACGAACTCGGAAAAGAGAAACCAAATTTAACTCCCATAAGAAATACATGGAGAGCAAATTTCGTTTACATTTAAGCCGAGTGGGATAATAGATAAATAAATGCCGATGCTTGATGGCTAATCTGTGCGTGCATACCTTCAATTTGAGACCTCAATCATGTTAATCGGTCGGGTAGAAGAGCCAAACGTAGTCGGAAAAGAAAAACCATTTTTTTTAAATATATAAGATACCTATGAAAATTATTACTATAAATCGATGTGTCAATTATAAATATAGTTTAATATGCTGGGGCTGCAGTATAGATAACATTTTCCCCATATATGTACATTATTTGATATATTTTATTTTCCTATTTTCTCCTCACTTGTCGTCTTTATTTTCTTGACTGGCTAGGGGTCCTCGGATGTGGGCTGAGCTTTGAGATGGATGTTCTGTAGAAGGACCCTGGATGTTGTCCTCATCCAAGGAAACATCTTCTACTTCATCACCTACGATGGTTGGTTCGGGTTTAAAGCAGTTCCCCTCACATTTCCCACATATTTTTGAGCAAAAGAGCCCTACTCGTCGGCAGCCGCAGTTACCTTCTTGCATGAGCATGCTACCAGTTTCAAGAGAGCATCTGGGGCTGGGCTCCGTAAGGTAGTTATAGGAACAAATTAGCTCGTTCGCTACGCTAACTCGCCTCCAAGTTGAAGTTCGTTCGCTACGCTCACTCACCTTTTGGTTGCAAATTAGCTGTTGTCATAAATGTAAAAGAAATAATAGTGCTGCACCCTGTTGGTAATCCTTGCAACTTTAATGCTATTGAACATCATAGAACAGAACCAACTTGTTTAATTGAAACAGCTGTTAAGATTCAATAATTCCATTTCTCATAAGGTTAACATGGGAAACTTCAGAGCCACTGGGGTGGAGCCCGAAAGGATTTTTGAAATAAGAATATGCCTATATGTTAATCGGGAATGTGAGCTATCATCATGCCAAATTTCAGCCCAATCCGACCAGTATTTTTCGCGTTCACTTGTCACAAACATACATCCATCCATACATCCAAACTTTCTCATTTATAATATTAAGTAGGATGACGACACTAGCTTGAGGTCCGTGACGTAGGAAGTGCTAAAGGAAGTACTAAAGGTGAGCAGTCTGGAGTGTGGGAACTGTTAATGACGATTAGATTAAGGGATCTGCAATCCTAAAATGCTATGGGAAGGGAGAGAAAATGTCCGAGACGTATGAAGTGGTGAAGGCAGTCGTCAAGGTGAGCTGTTCGGAGTGTGGGATCTGTTTATGACGATTAGATTAAGGTATCTACAATCTTAAAATTCTATGGGAAGAGAGGGAAACAGGTCCGCGACGTAAGAAGAGGTGAAGGTAGTAGTAAGGTGAGCAGTGTGGAGTGTGGGAACTGGAAACCGTTTGTAGCAGTTAGATTAACGTATCTGCAATACTGAAATGCTATGAGAAGGGATGGAAGCATCCCCACGACATAGAAAATGGTGAAAGAAGTAGTAAAGGCTAGCAGTGCGGAGTGTGGGGAATGTTTGTGGCAATTAGATTAACGTATCTAAAATACTAAATTGCTATGGAAAGTGGTGAAAACAGGTCCACGATGTAGGAAATGGCTTAGAAAGTAGTAAAGTATGAGCATAGTGTGAAAACCGTCTGTGGTAGTTAGATTGATGAATCTTTAATCCAAAAATGCTATGAGAAGGGAAGGAAACAAGTCTCTGACGTAGGAAATGTTGAAGGAAGTAGTAAGGCTTGCAGTGCAGAGTGTGGGAACTATCTTTGGCAATTACATTAATGTATCTGCAATCCTAAAATGCTATGGGAAGAGAGGGAAACAGGTCCACGACGTTGGGGGTTTAGAAGGAAGTAGTAAAGGTGAGCGTGTTGAGTGTGGGAATGGATTAATGTATCTGCAATGCTAAAAGGCTATGGGAAGAGACTGTAGACTGTAGGTTAAAATAATTACGAAGCACGAATCGATACATATTTCGATACATGCAATCGTTTACAATATAGAAATTTACAACTGAGTTGACAACAGCTGATTTTTACTCCATAGAGGATACAAACTATTTTTACTTCCTAAAGAGTAAAAATGCTACTTAAAGCTGGGTTTTCCTAGACGCGGAGTCGGCCAGCGGAGAGCGGACAACGGAGAGCGGAATTGAAATTAACATGGCATTCCGCTCCGCTGCTAGGAAAACAGTAACATTAAATTGCCTAAGACAAGCTGAGTCCGCTCTCCGTTGTCCGCTCTCCGCTGGCCGACTCCGCGTCTAGGAAAACCCAGCTTTAGACCCGCAACGCATGCTTTAAAAACGACTGGTATTACTGTAGTATGACCAAAACAATATAATATAAACTCTTGATGACTCCGCTAAATTTTGTGGATGCCTCTGCAAATGCCACCTAGTAAAATAATCAATATTCATAAAATAGAGTTCGTTGGGTGTCTAATCTAAGGATTTATAATGGTGTTTCCTACGTTTACCAATGGTGTTTCCTACGTTTACCAATACGTAAAAGAAAATGATGAATTTTGAGCGCGCTCTAGCGTCAGTTAGGAAGATCCTAGAAATAAAGTTATTATACGTATATTGTAGGGAATTTAGTGTACTTTAATTTAGTAAATGACAGTTATTGCAAAAAAAATACTCCGTTTGTGAGTTATACGTAAAAAAGTTAAACAAGTACAGTATTTTATTTGGTTTTTTGCGATTTCTGAAGTTAGCTCACCTCTGGCGAGGTGGCAAAGTTTAAAATCGGATTCAGCGCCAAAAAATACATAAGAAACCACTGAGAAAAAAACTTCGGGAATTTTTTCATGAAAACATCTTTTTTTTTCTCATATGCTTGGACTAGTAAGAGTGTAATGAAACAAACAACAGTACATCATTTAGGCTATTGATGAGTAAACATAAGAAAATATGTTAATATCAAAGTGAAACAATAAGGTATTCTAAACCAATGTTCATTCAAACTTTAATATAGCTTTGATAAATATATTTAAATTTGTAGCTAGCTAATATGATTCCAAAGAATTACAAAAAAAAGAATAACATTTCCTACTTCTTAGTGCAAAACATGTAACAATGGATAGAGTTGAGAAAGTCATGTCTGAATTATTACCTACTATAGACAGTTTCCTTTAATTACAATTATTTAAAATTCATAATATCCTGAATTTGTCGATTGATATTGTCATATTTGATAATATATTTGTAGAAGGAAAATAAGTGGTTAATGTTTGCAATTTTACAGTTTCGATTATTTGCATGGTGTAATTATTTTAAAAACTAACCTCAAGTTATTTTGTTAAAATGATGTTACACAATACACAAATGCATTTCTTTGATGTTAACTTAAGGAGTCATGCCTTTTAGTGTTTTCACCTGGATTTTTGTTTCTGATTTATTTTAGGTCTTAATGTACTTATTGACTTTGTCTATTGCATTTACATGTGGAATGGCAGTAACAATTCTTATTCTCAAAGGAACTATTTCATTTGATCTCTAATTAGGATCACAGACAACCTATAACAACCTAATTTACTTTTGATACCTACAAACTTGGGGTGGATGAATGCTTCTTGGTGTCAAAACTGACCTTCAACCATAGACAAACAAACCACAACCACATAACCCCAGGAAGAATATACTTTCAAACCCACACAAAAGTGACCTGGCTTTAAGATCTGGTTTGTGCTTTTCCACCTGGTTTGAAAGCTAGAACACTTTGTCACAAATACCAATGTTATCTAGGTTTGTTAATTATGTTGTGAGAAACAAGATTAGTATGATTGTTGTCTGTGTGCTACTGTATCAAGTGTTACATCGTTATCTAAGTTTGTATGTAGCAAAGGGAAAATGATGAAACACGACTTTTTTACGAACAGCCATCAAAACTTTAATAATTGTCTTTGGTAAAAGTGGATAGGCTGTTGCGTTTTTTTTTTACTACAAGCAAAATACTACTTTAAGGTTAAAGATATCATTTTGAAAAACACAAAAGTGTGAGAAATTAAAAAATACATTTTTGTTTTTAAAACAACATTCATTGGTAATAGATTTAACTATTTAGATTTAAAAAGTAACTTTTTAATTGTGCTCACTAAACTGATATAAAGAGATTAAGTTTACAAACACATATAGTACAAAATATTAAATCCAAACACAATTAAACACAGCTTCAACCTTAAAATAAACATTAAAAAACATACAGCTTAAAGAATGTTACAACAGCAACAAAACTTTAAATCACAAATACAATACTGTAATAGTAATAGTTATCAGAAAATTAAGTATGGTGGTTGTGGAATCCTGCCTTATCTCATTCATCGATACTCGATTTAGGAGACTGGGCTAAGATTCTCTCAAAAGAAAATGGAGTAAAGAGGTAACCATTTCCTTTGTAAAACTTGCTTTGAAACTCGACCCAGTGTAAACGTAGTGTGTGCAGAAAAGCAGATAATCCTTCCATGAGGACAAGAATGCCTAAAGTAAGTACTGCCCAGAATGCAAACACTGCCCACAAAACAACTCCACCAAGTAAACCCATCGATTCACTACTGCTTAGCCCTATATTCATAACCATGTTCCACAAAACCTCCGATAGCTGACCGTGGGCCAATGACAATGCCCATAGCCGGAGATAAGACGCAGTATGACTAATTGAGCCGAGAACATACTCAATAGTGTGAATCCCTTGGATGATCCAGACCTCTGTCATGTCTTCATGCACTTCTTTTTTGGCCAATAATCCCTCTCTCATCACATTCTCCAAGTCATCTTCATTTTCTTGGGGGTGAAGATTCTTTGTTTTCATCATAAGCAATGGTTTAGCGAGCATCATCCAAGGTATACACAAAAAACTAATGAGCACCAAAAAATACTGGAAGTATTTTTGACCCGGATACATCCAAGGACTACAAGGTTCTGACGTATCATTTTCTTTGAACAAAACCATGTTGATGAAAGTAATAAGGATGGATGGAGCACACCCTGGTCCAGTTTCAACAGGGTTTGTGGGACCATAAAGTATCCACTTGATAAACATGAGTGATACTAGATACAAAAACAGACAAACGAGAAATATGATTTGTGGAAGAAACATAGTAAAAATGTCTGAAGATTTTTTAAAGAATTTATAGTTCCAAACGCTCAGACTTACTCCAAAGCACATATGAATAACACCAATGATGATGGAAATTTTCATTTTGTAGGCATTGAAAAATCTAATCTTGTTTTCGGCCATCATCCAAACAGGATCCATTCCAATTGGGTAAGGTGTCTGCAGGTAAGAATCTTTGGGATCTAGATCTGCATTTTTCAAGGTTTCTATGTAATGTTTGTCATAAACAACCCTCCAGCGGGATCCAAAAATATTTAAGGCCTTTCCAAAAATATCATTGTATATGAAGCCTGTGTACACTGAAAATAAACCCATAAGCAAAATAATGTAGCGACCGTTGAACAAAATGTTCCCTATCTCGTTGCTTGACTTTTTGGCGATTATGCTTTTTTCCTTCCACACCATCCATGCAGCAAATAAAGTCATGATTAGTCCATGACCCATGTCCCCAAACATTACAGCAAAAAGAAATGGAAAAGTAATTAAAGTATAAGGAGCTGGATTTACCTCTTGGTAACTAGCCACACCATAAGCATCGATTAATGCTTGGAACGCTTTAGTGAATTTGTTTGTCCGGTTGAATGTAGGAGGCTCTTCTAGTGTATTTACCTGATTGAGGATGGGTGGAACAGCACCCCCACTACTTTCAGTTCCACGACGCAAAGCCTTCTGGATGTTTTCAACCTCATGAACCGGTACCCAACACTCTGCAATAAGACATTTTTGGGTGACATCCAAATTAAACAGGTTTAGTGTATGGTAAATTGCTTTGATCTTTCGTACTTTGATGAACCAAATGTTGATGTGTTTTGCAGCAGCTACCAACACCCGATGGCGATGATCTTGCGTCTGACCTAAAACAGTGTTGAGATCTTGAATTCTTGTCATGACACCCATAGCCATTTCCCTACGATCTGCAGGTGTCTCTGGACATGGATACAATGTGGCTCGAAACCCCTCGCATATCTTCTTTACACGAGTTTTCAACTGTTCTCCTTGAAAAAAGACAATGAAGACAGACTTCATCACTTTGTTTCCAGTCACAGGGTCTTCGAGGGCGGTGTCGATTGAGGCTTGGCGCATGTAAACGTTTCCTCGGCAAGCACGCCACAACATGCGTTCAAAAGCTACAATGCGTTCCCTCAACACTACACCAGCTAAGAAACTGAGCTGACCAGCTCCCGCAGTATTCTGATTTGCTGCGGAGTCTTCATTTATCAGAGGCTTAGTAATCAATTCTAGGGGTTTGGTAATCGATTCACTTGAGTGAAGCTCACCATCTTCATGAAAAAATCCTTCGGTTTTACGTAGAATATGCTTCAGTTCAGTAAGTTCCAAATAGTTTGTCTTTAGAACATCAGCATTTTGATTAACTTCTTTTAATTCACTCTCTAGCTTCTCAAAAGTTGCTTCAAGATCCACCATTTCTCTAGGTTGTGGAGCCTCTGGGTTGTCACCAGTGTCTAAAATTTGAACATTATGTTTTCTAATTTCCTTTTCCAGATATCGAAGTTTTCTCTCCATTTCTTCACAGCGTCGAACTTCGTTGACAAATTTCTTTTGAAAGGCATTCGTCTCTACGTTTAAGTCCCGAAACTGAACCAGTCCGAGTTCTCCTAACTCTGATACACAGGAGTATGCTGCTTCGCTTTGTAGAAACAATTGGCAAAGGGTCATTTCTTCACTTCTAAAGAAGGAACCCATATTTTACCTTCTACAACAGGTACTAACTGTTTAATCCTCAGTATTAAACTGCCTCAGATTATTATGTTATTATGTTTCTGGCATTGTTAATCTGAAAGAAAAAAATATATTTTCAACATATATGTTTACTTTTTTTTATCTAACAGGTCAGTTTAGACTGAAAATTGTTATAAAGCAAACAAAATAATAACAAACAGATAAGACCTAAATAGGAATGAGCATCAATGTTCACCATAAATGGTGACATCGGATCAGTATCAAACATTGATTTACCAATAACATTATCGCAAAAACTTCAATAATTTATGTTTTTTAGTTTTTTATCTGCTTTCTGCCTCAGTTAATAAACCTAGCTACTAGCTAGATATTTTAGATGAACAGTTTTTCTTTAACATTTACAAGAATGGTAATTAAATTAAAGTTAACTTAGTTAAATTAAGTTAAAATTAACTTAGTTAAATTAAGTTAAAATTAACTTAGTTAAATTAAGTTAAAATTAACTTAGTTAAATTAAGTTAAAATTAACTTAGTTAAATTAACTTAAAATTAACTTAGTTAAATTAAGTTAAAATTAACTTAGTTAAATTAAGTTAAGTTAACTTAGTTAAAATAAGTTAAATTAGTTAATTTAGTTAAATTAAATTTACTAATGGCTCATAATTGACCATGCAGGAGCAGGAGTGTTACCGTTAAAAGTTATTTCTAATTAATTAATTGATTTTTGGCAGCATTTAGAAGAAGCACTATAATATGACCATACACCATAATATGACCAATTTCCCTCGTCTCCCCTAACTCCCTGCAGTTGGCGATATTTTTTAATTCAATATTTCACAAGCCTTTAAAATGGAATAGATACAAAATTAAATTTCTTGTTTAGACCAAAATTCAAATTTTCATTAAGACTAATAAATACTGTACATTCTAGTTACAGAAAAAACATTGATATTTCAATATTCAACAAAAATATCAATGTAAAAAAACGGAGTAAGGGAATTTTACCCCCTGACGAAACTGACGTCAAAAACCAGGGGGTAAATTCCGGCCGCAAACTTTTGAATCGCAAAACTGATGTTGTACATTTAACAATGTTTATATGTTCAATAAATTAAATGTAATAAAACATATATTTTCACGCTTGTGAATTTAATCAGAACACATCAAATTATAAAACCTAGAGTGTACGGGACGGAATTTAATGTCCAAACTTGTTAAAGCGCCTTCATGAGATCAGCTCAAAATGTACGGCCCAGATTTTTACCCCCGGAATTTTATCACCTGGCCAGATATAGAAATTAGTGAGAATAATTAATTTTCTTTTTCAGTTTTAATATAGCCTACCTTTTATTGTAGCCTATATATATAAATATATATATATATATATATGAATTTGAACGGATGTTGTTTTTGGTCTCTAGGGACCTCAAAACGAAAAATAAATCGGTCCCGGGTCCAGGTCTTACCATGTGTAGGCCTACTACGGTAATAGCTTATTCCCTATATGGGAAATTCGCTAAAACCCTGTCACGTTTTAATATATATGATCCTTCACAGAGATATGACACTGTTCTTAGGACGAATATCCCAGAATTTATTTTTTTAAATTAAATACTCGACATGTTTATTCCAGCTTAACACGTTCGCTACTGCAATAGTACGAAATTTTTCATTCACGTGGACCAGCGACGCACATATGCGTCGGCTGGGTTCCACCCATAGACTTCCGTCGCATATATGCGTCGGATAGTCACATTAAAATAGACTGCCGTCGCATATTTGCGTCGGGGTTCTAATGTTATTAAAATGCTTATATCTTTGTAACGGTCTATTTGAAGGCACTGAATTCCCTGCAGTGGTCTACAGAGATGTCTGACGCACAACTGCGTCGCTTGGTCTGTGGATATGATGATTGGTGACGTCATATGATAGTTGGAAAAACTGGTCTTTACTTTTCTGCATCACTGTATGTATGTATGCTGCATTATTCTATGTAGCTTTTATATTTGTTCAGTTATAAACTGTTCTTGATCAATCGTTTTTTATTTTACTTACTTTCACCTCAAAACACAAAAAATGAACTGTCGCATATATGCGACATTTGGTCTATTTCAAGAAAACTATGATAATTTTCACTATTGTCTTCGCTGTAGACTGGGCGTCGCAAATATGCGATATTATTACAAAAGGTGATTAATAATACAAAAAAACAAGAATACATTATTTACAAACACAATTTTAGCGTATTAAAATGTAAATGATCACTGTTTTACAGGTTTTCGCCCGTGGTCTGTGTGTACTGTTATCCAAGTGACAGCCGGTCTGTGTGTAAGATTCAAATGTATACCACGGTCTGTGGCAGTGACCGCGGCGTCGCATATATGCGACGCTCAGTAGCGAACGTGTTAAATCCTCATATATTATCAAACCCGATAGTTTTGAAGTTTTAACTTGAGCAATGGAATTTGTATCTATAATTTTTGTCTCTTTTTGTTTTGAAAAGAATGACTAGCATGAAGTGCTACATTATGGTCCTTTAAAAACTGATTCAGACTTTTAAATTCTGATTTAGCAGACATTTCTAAATCAGTTAGGCATTTCCCAGTTGTGTTAAGATTAATATCATCTGCATATATACTTATCTTACTACCTGGGTCATTTAGATAATTTGGAAGATTTTTAAGGTAACATATGAATAAAAGAGGACCAAGAATCGATCCCTGTGGGACACCAGATGATATCTTTGATAAATTAGATCTTGTTTTTTGGATGATGTTATTTTTTGACAAAGTTGATACGGTATTTCCACAAATTGGTAACGTTCCTCTAAGTATGATTTAAACCATTTGAGAGTGACTCCTTTAATACCCCCAAATTATCAAGTTTAGCTTATTAATTGATGGTGGTCTACATTATCAAATGCCTGGGACATGTCCATGAAAATGCCAGCTGAATTCAAACCCTTATCTAGTGAATTTATCACTGCTTCAATGATACTAATCGCTTACCGGTATGTTTAACAGTCCATCTACCAGCACGGAAACCATGATGTTCATTATCAATTAGATCATACTGGTTCAAGAAACTGTTCAACCTGTTGTAAACTGCCTTCTCATATACCTTTGAAATTGCAGGAAGAATTGACACTAAGTTAGCCTGCAGTTTGAAATATCTTAGCTAGAGTTTTTCTTATAACCGGGCACCACTCTAGCAACTTTAAGCTTATTTGGACAAATTACTGTTACAAATGATGAGTTAGGAGCATTAACATGAATTTAATCTCCTCTTTCACATCTTTTAAAAATTGTACTGATAAATCGTCATAGACAAATGTTGTTTTATTTTTTAAAGATTGTGTAATAGTTATTATTTCGGTATCAGTTACTGGTTCGAAATTAATACAATTTTGTATGCCATATATTTTTTGAAAAGGTGTCTGTCCAATGTAAAAATTTTTAAACGTAACGTTGAAGATTTTGTAAAAAATTAGTTAAAAATATTTGTTATTTCTTTTGGATTATTAACTATCTTTTTGTTAACTTTGAATGACACATTTTCTAGTTCTTTTTGTTTTTTGCCGTTAAAGACTTCCTTGTTCATAATTGACCATGTTGTTTTTAAAATATTTGATTCAAGAATAAATTAAAATATTGGTTTTTAATTTTTTTGTTATAATATTTTTGTTTTGTTTTGAAAAGATCAAATTTAAATTTTTGTTGACGAGTTTTAAGCTCTTTGCACTCTTTATCTTGATTGCTTGCACACTTACTTAGCCTAACAATAGTTTCCCTCTCTTCTCTTAACCTAGTATTCATCCAGCAATTCTTTTTGGAGCCTGTTCTAACAGTAATTTGTGGAAAGCACTCATTAAAATAATAAACAAATTTCTGATGGAACTTAAGAGTACTTATATTCAACAGGAGACATGTAAATTTCCATCCAATTCTCATCTTTCAGTTTTGATTTAAACAAATTGATGTTTTCCTGGCCAAGATCTCTACAAGTTTTTACTTGGATTTTTTTTGTCATGATCAAGGGTATTCATCTCAAGTACCTGACCATCATGATCTGACAAACAAGTAATTATACCATACGAGAGGTCGTCCAGTGGTCGAAACTCGACCAAAAATATCTAATGTACTGTACTCACTTATCTATTTTCACCCCACACTGTAAATAAAACATGTGATTGGAGTTTCTTCCATTTGTTTTGATTTTCTGTTTATATTTCGTTGTTATTTTGTCACCATGGCAACGCATAAGATCCATGTTAATTTTTTCAAATTTTTAAACTCATTTTTTGTGCTTATCTTTGAGCCTATTTAAATTTATAAAGGGATTCTGCACACCTAGAGGAAAATAGCTTTCTAACGGTATGCGTAGATTTTACCTACGATGCACACGAGCTGAGAAAAAAGGTTTTAAAGAAACATGCTTGCCTATTAATATATAGATAGATAGATAATGTTAAAGCACAACCCAACTTATGCGTCCAATTGTCTGTAAAGCTTAAATCTAAGAGAAAAAACAGAAAGATTTTTAAAAGTTTTTGATGAAAAATTAGTTAGCAACAGCAATCGGGTTTCCCATCACTAGCTACCTCTATAAAAACATCTGTTGTAGGACATTCATTAGGTAAAATATTTAACAAATAATATACACAATAAATTAATTAACAAGTGAGGTTGGATGAAGCCATTGAAGCCAATCCAGTCAAATATTGAGTAATTAGATCAGGTGTCTGGGTGTCTCTTTCTCTATTTGTGCAATAACTTATTGATTTGTAACAAAAATAAATCCCTGACAATTGTTTAACATAGAGATAGGCCTTAATAAACTGATCTAATTATTTTTTGGATTGGTTACCTAAAATGTTACATTAGTACAGTACTATAGTTCGGCCGCTTAGAAAGCGATCTCCTCCCGCATTGGTTTAGCATTAGCGCGCAGGTCGTTTTCTAAGCGGCCGAACTATAAGTTTTAAATTACAGTACCACCCTACCTGTATTTACCTTTGAGGTATGGTAATACTGAACTTATACTACTTATGTTATAAGTTCAATTTTTTTACCTTATCTAACCAAAATTAGGTTATTTTAAGCACGTTTTACATTTTGTACTTTTGGGGGAAACGACTATTTCACACTGAAATCTCGTTTAAACATCGTAAAAAGCACTAAAAATCAACTATTTTTGGCACTTGAAAATTTTCTTTTTTTACTTTTTAAGTGTTTTTTCGTATTATTTAGGTATGCCATTTCAAAAACTTTTTCGGCAAAGGCCGTTTTACCCAGAAAACCCGGTTTTTAAGTTGTAAAAAATTACTACCATTTTTTGGTAAACCTAATAAATATATGTAATATAACCTAACCCATGCTTACGTTAGCATTGCAGAATATTACCGATTTTGGGTAAAACAAGGTTAGGTTACCTAGGTTTTAAATTAGGTTAGGTTAAGTTAGGTTATAGCCTTATGTTCCAATTGGGCTATTAGGCCTAGTAATTTATAGGTCTAATGCTTTTCGAGATTTTCAAACCAACTTGTTTTTTGGGGTGAAATCAGTTACGGTAGGTGTTTGCCAAAAACGTGCAAGAGGAAAAATGTGTTTGAAATGGCCTAAATAATAAACAAAAATACCATTTACTGTACTTAAGTAAAAAAAGTTTTTCAAGCGCCTAAAATTGCTGATTTTTAGTGCTTTTCTTGGGTACACTTCCATATCTGTTGGCACAAACAACCGAATGAGTAATATTGATTATTTAATTCGATAAGTATATTGTTTGGTTGGTTAGGTTAGGTTAACCTTTCCTAACTAACCAAACGATTTTCATTCGGTTGTTTGTGCCAACAGATATGGAAGTGTACCCCTTTTCTTGATTTTCAAAGACAATTTTCAGGGTGAAATAAGTTTTTTTAGGCGTTTCCCCCACAAGTGCCAAAGGTAAAAAGTGCTCAAAATAGCCTAATTTTGGTAGATAAGGAAAAAATGCAATATACATAACATAAGTAGTAAGTAGTAGTTCAGTATTAGGTACCCAAATTAACAACCCTGTAATTACTTTATATGGGAAACAAATAAGATTTAACAACTAACTTACCAGTCCGATTTGTTATGGATGGTCACTGATCTGTATTATTGTTAGCTCAGCTGTTTAACGAACAATGGAAATTTAATCGCCGGCTCCACCCTCTAATCTAATGCATTTCTGCATCTGTCAGTCAGTGTCAGTCAACCTGAACCCTGAACCTAGGACTAGGAGGATTGAAGATTGACGATTGACATTGAACATTCTGGGGTCTGACCATAGATAAAACATAAACCTCGTTTAACCAAATAATACGATCTAATAATAAACAATAACCTGTCCCCTAGCTATATAACCAAACAGTAAAGCACAAATCAAGAAATTAACCCTAAAATAATAGAAACAAAGTTTCGTCGACACTAGCGCCCATGTGTCACGTACATGAACTAGACACGAAAAACGTGCTTCAAAATTAACAATGGGATGAGAAGTCTACTTGCTACTTGTGTTGGTTAGTCTATGGTCTGACTTAAATTTAGGGGAGGTACGATTGAGGCATTAGTTCAAAATTCCTCCGTGAACAGCGCTGTAGTAGAGAGCACTTTGGCAATGAACGTTTACTAATCGCAAAAATAGTTCTGTTCATAAAATAAAATTTTAAATGCCTCAAATTCAATTTTATTATTTTTTAATTATAAAAACTATCATAACCTAACCGAACTAACCAAACTTGCTGATAATGAAGTAATATAACAAAAGTTTAGTAATAGAAAAAATAATTCTGTTTATTTAATAAAACTAGAAAATGCTCAATTAAAATTTTATAATGACTTAATAATAATAAAATTAAACTGTCATAACCGAACTAAACCAACCAAACTTTCTGATAATGAAAAAATCTTGGACAAAAAGTTAATGCTCCCAGCGGGATTCGAACCCAGGACCTTCAGCATATCAACCCGGCACGCTAACCACTAGACCACCGAGGCCGATGGCGACAGATTGTATTGTTAAGGTAATGGCGTTCCCTCAGCTAATGAGAAGCCCACAGCTGTCATCGTAGCCTCTTCTATACCTCCCCTGAGTAAATACCAACATTTTGTCACTGTCAAGGTCAAGTCAGCTGAGTCAGCACTCAGCGACTCAGCAGAACGGAACACGCCGCAACCCGCAACCCGCAACAACTGAGCCGTGTCTGCTAGCTGATCTGCTCTGCTTTATACCATTGATTATATATCTCCTTGGGATATGTATAGGTGGCTGTGATAAAAATGAGTATGTATTGTGGTTTTTGGAACAAAATAGTTCACCTCCACAATTGCAAGGGGATTTTCCAAGGTATTTTTAGCCCAATATAATCAAACTATGTAATAAAAAGGCGAATAAGTAAATTAAGCAAATAAAACTCACACGTTTTACTTAATGTAGAACCAATGGTACTAGATGCGTTGTCTTTTAAGGATTCATAGTCAATGGTGTAGAACCATAGACTAACGTTTTATCTATGGTAGAACGTAAGATTGCGTATTGAGATGAATTGAATGCATTTTTGTAGTCTAGTGTTGTATAGGACAGAGGTAGCAATGGCATGGAATATCGGAAGTCGGGAAGCTGTTGTTGTTGTTACGTTGGTACCAACCATCGATCTCTATTCAGTAATAATAGAGATCGATGGTACCAACACCCACCAACTATGGGAATCCGAATCAGCTCAGTGGCACGATTGGCAGTATTGGCACTGAGTGGCAGTCACTGAGCTAAAATTGTAACATAAGCTTATAAGTTAGAATTATAATAGCTCAGTGGTGGCAGTAGTACCAGATTATAAAAATATTATCTAGGTTACGTACCTTATACAGTCAAACAGTTCTGAATCTAGTCACTAAAGGACGATGCGCATTTCAGAGCTTTAAAGCCCTATCTTCAGGTCCATGGATACTTATTAATTCATCTTGCAGATTCGTCAAAATTTTTTTAAACATTAAAAACACATAACACTAACACATAGTTCAACATTTATACAGGTACATGTGCCGGCCGGCTATAGATCCCGACATCTAGAGTCGAGATCTATAGCCGGCCGGCACATGTACCTGTATAAATGTTGAATTATGTGTTAGTGTTATGTGTTTTTAATGTTAAAAAAAATATATTTTATAACCAGAACGCATCATACCCATCATACCATGCATAGCCGAACTGTTCGTGGGAATTTGTTATCTCTATCACTGTCGCTGTCAAAACGTGTCGTTTGTAGGTTAAATTTTAAATAATTTAACTCAAATCAAATCAAATCAGTTTTATTTCCACAATATATAAAAAATTTACAATTAAAAAAAAATACAAATATATATAGTCCTGAAGCATTAAACAGTAAATTGTAACGTAAATTAATTCTAGTAAAATTAATTTATAAGTTATAATAGTAAAAACTTAAATACTAGTTGAATGTTTGCTCCGGCTTGAATAATAACTAATGTAATATATAATGGAAATGAGTCTACATAGACCTCAGTGGTCTGTGCGTAGACTCGAGTTGTTAAAAATTATATATATTTTTTTGAGCTAATTTGCAATTTAAGAAAAAGTTTAAAATTAAATAAAAATGTACTATGTGCTATGGGACCGTGTAAAGATAAAGATAAGTTTAAAGATTATATAAAAAATTTGGAGTAAATATTAATTTAAATTTTTATTAACAGAATTGTTTAAAGGGAAGCCAATAAATAAAATGGAAAAGAATTTTGTTGGTTGCAAGAGTTTGCAGAGGCCCTGTCCGTTCAGTGCTGTCAGACAGTGGCAGGTCTCCTGTTATCAGTAGTGATAAGAGCCTCGGCCTCTTCATCGCTGATATCCAATAACCATCTATTAACTCGATTTTTGAATACACCTAATGTAGGAGAATGAAATAAACTGAGTTGCTTTATACCTAGTGGAATAATTCCGGAACAAAATATGTGCTATGTAGAAACAATTTATTTTTGAAAAGGATTTGTGCTGCTGAATAGTAGAAATTCCAATTCTATTTGCATATCTTGTATTATGAGTGTGGGTTATGGAAGTAAAAATTGAATTGAAGTTTTTAAATATAAAAATTAGAAGATCTTTGATAAACAATTTTGCAATGGGGAATATTCCAGTTTCATGAAATAGTAAATCTGAGGGGTATCTTTTACACTTTTTGAAACCAGCTTTTAGGATAGACTTTTGAACCAGAATCAGACCTGTGAGATGTGAACTGTACGCCCCTCCCCAAGCTAATATTCCATAAGACAAAACCGACTGTACATATGCAAAATATGTTGATTTAATTTCTTTAAAACTGAGAACATCACTTAACTGTCTAAATGTAAATATAAATTTTCTAGTTTTATTTTGCAAGAAATTAATATGCTCTATCCATTTTATATGTTTGTCAAAAATTATTCCTAAATATTTATATGAGTTAACTCTCTCTAAGGTATCGCACGAACAACTGTTATTGAATTGGTTGAGACAACTGTGCAAGATCAAATTGGTTAGGTTATAGTCAGCTGTTGACGCGAGAGAAATAGGCATGAATTTTGTTTTGGAAACATTAAGAGATAGTACATTTTGGTCGAGCCATTTTTTTACTAATTTGAGATCTGATTGAGCTTTACTCTTCACACCTTCCCATGTCTTATCCTTAACATAAATCAATGTGTCATCTGCAAAAAGAAACATTTTTCCGAAAATTGGTAATTTAGAAATATTATTTATATATATAAGGAATAAAATAGGCCCAAGAGTACTCCCCTGAATCAACCCATAGTCAACAGGCACCTTATCGCTATTGACTCCATCTATGTATACGAATTGTCGCCTATCTCTGAGGTAGCTTTCGAACCATGAGAGAGCGTTCCCCCTTACACCTATAGCAGACAATTTTGAAATTAGATGCTTTCTGTCTACACTATCAAAAGCTTTTTTGAGATCTAAAAAAATTAATACTGAGCGCAAATTTTCAGATAGAGCACTAAAAATTTCTTTGTTGATATGAAAAAGAACATCTCTAACATTTTTATCTTTTCTGAACCCATATTGACAGTCTGCTAGGATCTGATTCTGGTTCAAGTAATCCACCATTTGTTCCTTAACTATTTTTTCAAGCACCTTAGAGAATGCACTCAATAAAGATATTGGTCTGAAATTATTTTTGTCTTTGTGGGAGTTTGATTTGTATAAAGGAAAACCTTTTGCCAATTTATCTTGTCCGGAAATATTCCACTAGCCAAACTTAAGTTTATGATATGCAATAATGGTTTAGAGAGTGAATTTACATTTTCTTTGAGAACATCAGCCGAGACACCATCAAAACCGGGGGCAGACCCACCACGTAACGAGTAGACATGTCTGATAACGTCGAGTTCAGTCACTGTCTGGAGTGTAAACACAGTGTCCTGCCTGTAATCTGCGTCGTTGATGATCGGGGGACCGCTGCTATTTATTGAACTGGCAAGGTTATATCCAACAGAAGCGAAAAACGTGTTAAAGTCATCAGCTACAATCTTTCTTACATCAGGAGTGATGTTGGATACGTTTGTATTTGGAAGATATTTCTGAACTGAAAAGGGGTCTTTTTTATTTGATCGCCCCGCCAGCTCGTTCACAACCATCCAAAAGCGTTTGGGGTTGTTTTGATATTGGTTTAATTTTGACCTGTAGTACTCGCTTAGAACTTTTAATACCACTGGAAATTTGATGTCTTAAATCACGATATTCTTTATTTAAAGTAGCATTAAACGGCTGTTTTTTTAATTTTCTTACTAGTTTTATCTCTTTCCCTAATTAGCTTAATCGAATCATTTGTGATCCATGGCTTTAATTTTTTGAACCTCGATGATTTCCTAACAGATTTTTTAGAACTATCTATGGTTTCATCCATGATTTGTAAAAAACGAGATGCACAAGAGTTAATGTCAAGGTCGATAAAAAAAGTTGCTCCAGTCTATTTGCGCAAGATTACAGGACAGTAGTGTATGATTGATAATCCGTGTAGAAGTATCCAAAGTAACTGACGGTGCATTGGTTGGAAAAGTAATAGTCATGCCTGTGCTGAAATGGTCTGTAACGTGTGTGTGTAATGTTGCTGATTGTACATTTTTCATGTCGTTGTAACGTATGA